GTGACGTAGACATGTGGGGGCGTGTTAGAACGAGCCGTTTTAGGTAGGCGTGGTTGTCTCTTAACTTTTATAAAGAATATCTCTTTGGATTTGAGACTTTAGTCTTTGCAACTTTACAGATCTTCTTTATGCACCAAGAGCTTGTAACACTCCAAAGAGAAAGGAACAATTGAAATCGCATATGACCCCTTTAAGAATACGGGCCCAGCTTGATACAATTGATTTAAAAAGATTTTAACATAACAGAATCCTGTATTAAATTTTGTTATGCTCAAAGTCTGTTAACAGGGTAAAGAAATGTTTCTATAATATACATAAAATGGTAACATAATTTAAATGTTCTTTTTAGCAGAGATTGTTGGTATTCACAACTGATTGTGTTTGTGTTTATGCCACTGTTGTACTAAATTCACCACAAATAATTTATATTTTAACAACTGAATTTAGGGCAATCACATATTACTATAGAACTGTATATTATACTTAACATGTTTAATTCTTTCAAATTAATTTTGCTTTGTTACGAGTTCCTTGAGTTCATGAAAGCCTTCATGATTTGCCTGGATGTTGTCGTTTGGTGTTACACTACAGCATCCTGTTGAAGAAACAACCTCTGCAAATACAACAGAACCCATATACAACACACCCTAAGAAGTAATAACTTTCTTAAATCTAGTCATTCAGGTAACAAAGTTATAATAAACCTTACATATGTATATGTCGTTTCCTTGCAGGGAGGAAAACGGTGAAGAACAAGTTATTTCCTAAAAAATTCCTAAAGATCTCAGTCACCCTGCTGGATCTCCAGTGGTCCACTTGTGACAGTATTGCAATCTTCTCCGTGTGCTGTGACCTTGACGTGGTGGAGAAGCTTGAGGTCCTCCGGCACTTTGAGAACTATGAGAGCAGGTTCAACCACAAAATCACACCTAGGATGACAAACTAACAACAGCAAGTTTTTTTGTAGCAGCTCCAGAGTAGACATGCATGGACAACAATATTATTAAAAGACTCACTCATCCCTGACACAACAACAAATAGACAGCATTTGAAATAACACTGCAAGAGGGCCAACTACATATGTAGGGAGACCAGGGCTAGTGCACACTTTTCTCAGTGACTGTTTATTAGGGTTGTATTTCAAAGTCAATGTGGTCAATTGATGGTAAAAAGTGATTCATGAAACAGCTGAAATTAAAAAGGTCACATACACGTACAAATATCAGTTTACAAATCAGCCTCAATTGCCCCAAAAGTAAGTTTTAATATATATTGCACTTTGTATTGTACAATATTTTTTCTAACAGCAGTTCGCTTAACCTTATTTGAACATTAAAGGGGTCATATGATGCTTTTTTTACAGATCATTATTTTGTGTATTTGGTGTAACAGAATATGTTGACATGCTTTAATGTTCAAAAAACACATTATTTTTCAAATACTGTACATTATTGTAGGTCCTCTATGCCCCGCCTCTCTCAAACGCTTCGTTTTCTACAAAGCCCCCTCCTTTGACAAGCGCAGTCTGCTCTGATTGGCCAACTGACCCAGTGCATTGTGATTGGCCAATCAGAGCAGACTGCTCTGATTGGCCAGCTGACCCAATGCATTGTGATTGGCCGAACACCGCAAGCACTCGTCGGAAATGTAACGCCCCTTACCATAATCACGAGCTTCATCTTTCAAAATAAATGTAAAGACAGAGCACGAAAGGGGAACAGAGTTGCATGACAGACACAGTGATGAAGCTGGTATGTGTTTGCAGTACACAAGCCACGGTTAAGACAGCTGACTCCACTGCGATGTGACCCTGTCTCTCTCGCTCTCTCTCTCTCGCACACACACGCGCGCGCACACGCACACACACACACACACACACACACTGTGGGTATTCCACGACATTCTAGATTCCACTTGCAGCAGTTGCGTGAGTTTCTTTGAATTATTGCACACAACTGTGATACTCACAGGATACTCTAATGCAGCAATAGTCTGGAACACCAGCCACTGTGGATACACCTCCAGTGTGTTCTGATGAGCTCTCTGAATGCAGTTGAACACTTGCTCCTTATCACTGTACATGGTGGGATACTATACACAAAACAAGAGAGCAGAAAAATACATTAAACCAATAAATCATGCATTGGTTGCAAACAAGAAATCAAAGTTTACTATGCATCAGTATAATTTCAGGCAATGAAACAACATGCACTGCATGTGAAGCCTTATCGTACCTTTACTCCAAACTTCTTCCGTGCACCACCAACTTGGACCCCGAGATACATCAACATCACAAAACTATACAAATACGTAAAAATTGCATAGCCAAAGTTGGCTGGAAGCAGGCTTTCGACCGCCATTTTTAGATGTAATGTTCAGAATTCTGTATCAAGCACGAGCCTTTCTTCTTGTATTTGAAGGAGGGGAATGCTGAATCATGCAGCTCACGCACGGTGAGTTATTTGTGTTAAAGGCGAGTTCACAGGAGACCCTGATAAAACCTCGCGATAAAACGCGAGAGACTGTTTGACAGTACTTCAATGGGGATTATTAGTGTTAAACAACCCGATGAAAACACTATACATATATCCTCCTGGGACCCAGGCATAGACTTTATCCTCTGTAGAGTAGAGGACATTATATGTGAGTGAATTTCTCTGAGACCCTACATGCCACAGTTTTAAGTCTGGATGTGCTTTTCGGAGATATCAAATGTTTGGAGGTTTGATCAGAAACACCCTCTCTCCTTGGTCTTTAAATATGACTGATATTGACAGAATGATCAAATTTAGCACTCTTAGGGAAATATGGTAATATTTAGCAATTGTCATATATATCTGGCTAATTTTCAAATTGTTTGTCGTAAATAAACATCTCAGAAAAATGTGATGGGGTTTCAAATCGGAATATGACTTTTTGTTACGAAACGGGGCATAATTTTAATTCATGTCTTTTGTAGAGGACACCAGGACAAACATGTTAATCGGGCATTTTGGGGAGACACAACAAGTCAATAGGGGAAAAAATTATAGATCAATATTCCTATGAAATATGAGATATTCTTATGAAAACGTTATTACTCCCATTATAACACTTATTTTTTCATTATGGTTTGCCCCAAGAACACATTAATATGCAAATTAGGTGCAATGTATAGACACATTATATTGAATGGGAATACCAATTTATGGATATTTTACGCACATATTCCATAAAGTACAGTAGTATATCAAACCATTTTGTTATATCTTTCATAACATAGTTGAGAATCATCTTTGCACAAAGTTTGGTTAAAAATAGCCTGAAACCTAAAAACTGATTGGTGAATGAAAAAAATAAATAATTGTTTTTGCATATACATGCCTTCTCTCATGTCTATTTATTTATTTGAATGATTTTGTCCTGGCGTCCTCTACAAAAGACATAGAATAAAATATGAATAAAATATCTTTTTTTCAAAAATGTCTTTTTTTAATTTGTTTCTTATGCTCCAACCAGTGTAATTATGACAAAATAATAATAATAATAATAATAATTCACAAAACTTGTTTATGGTTCTCAGGAGTATATAACTACATTAAACAATATGTAAATGTGAAGTAAATATACGACAGTGTTTCCAGTTATTAACCTAGTCAAGTCTTCAGCATGTAGATGTCGATTTATATATATTTTTTTATTATTATTAAAATAACTCAGTTAACATAAAAACGGTTAAAAATATAGTGATTTAAAAATAAAAAATCATGTCTATCAAACCATAAATATGTAGCCCTAAACACTGTTACGTTGATGAAGTTTCTAGAATACCACCCTGATTCTGTTATAGTGAGGTTATGATAACGTTGGTTAATTATTATAGTGTTTCTTGCGGAATGTTCTTGATTCGAGTCTGTTGTGTAATTTGATTGACAGGAGGGGCGGAGACTGTGTTACACAACGGCAACTGACCTACTTTCAGTTCCAGCACTTTCTCCTTTAAAGGGGGCATATGATGCTTTTTTTAAAGATCATTATTTTGTGTATTTGGTGTAACAGAATATGTTGACATGCTTTAATGTTCAAAAAACACATTATTTTTCAAATACTGTACATTATTGTAGTTCCTCTATGCCCCGCCTCTCTCAAACGCTTCGTTTTCTACAAAGTCCCTCCTTCCGACAAGCGCAGTCTGCTCTGATTGGCCAGCTGACCCAGTGCATCGTGATTGGCCAAACACCGCAAGCACTCGTCGGAAATGTAACGCCCCTTACCATAATCGCGAGCTTCATCTTTCAAAATAAATGTAAAGACAGAGCCCGAAAGAGGAACAGAGTCTCGTGACAGACACAGTGATGAAGCTAGATTCAAGTGATTATTACGTTTTGAATATGGATATTTTTCTTACAAAAACGCATCGATTCGCTACAGGAGGCCTTTGTTCACCCCACCCACCCAACATTTTCATTAAGTTTAATAGGCATGGATGACTATAAAAATAGAATAATTGAACCAGTATGTTCATGTTATTTACAGCATTCTTGAGTTTAAAATGTTTCAGCTAGACAGCAAACATGGTTCCCAAAAGTGCATGGACTTATTTACTAAATTGCTTTTTTTTTATTATGAAATGAGGCTGTTACACTACAAATTCAACTACAGAATACAAAGTATTGACAAAGGCACGTAAATCATACAAAGATGTAAAAAATTGTATGATGGCATCTGCTTAAACGTACTACAAACAACTATAAATAAGACAAACACCACAAATTGCTTAGGAAGCCAAAGACTGAATAAAATATGACACTGAGATCTGGTAAACATTAAAAAGGGAAAAGTTAGTAAATAAACATTGTGTACAAACTGTATACATTTTTTCTTGTACATTTATTGGTGGTTTTCCCGGTCATATTCAGTCCGTCATGCAGCGTACAGTCTTTTAAACACAAAGAGACATGACTAAATGTTCATGCTCCTCTGAATCTGCTCCAGCGCAGCCTCCTTCTTCTTCAGGAGATCCTTCAAACGTTCGATTCTCTCACGCCGTTTTATCTCCTCGGCATCCAGCGTCTCCAATGTGTACAGTGACTGTGTTGGAAATTTGTCTATTTTGGGACCTTGCTGTTTATTCGAGAATGACATGCTGGGGTTGTCTGATGCTGCACTTGGTGTAATATTCAATGAACCATTAGGTGAGATGTCGTGCGAGGTTTCACTAGTAGAGCCTCCTAACAGAGCTTTGTCTTCATGTGGATTTTTTGATGACCGTTTTTTCCCTGCTTTCTTAACAGGATCTTGATTTTTTAGTTGGCGATTCTCTTCTGGGGATTTATTTAAGCAGTTTTTTTTTGTCCCTTTCTGTGACTCAACAGCAGTACATGGACTCGGTCTGTCTTGTGAATGGAGGGATGAAGTGGCTTCTGCAGCCCCCAAAACAGTCCCACAAGGACAGGCCGTGCACACCTTACCTTTTTTAGAGCGCGGTGCGGTCTTCCTTTGAGAGGAAGGTGATAAGGTATGACTAGAAGTCTGTTTGGCTTTTTGTTCAGATAAGGGAGTAAAACAGCCCATGTTACCAGTACAATCTGCTGGCATTTCAGACTGCATATGAACTTCATCAGCTGTAGATTCTGTTGGTGAACAAACCTCTTCTTGACAAGCTAAACTGTTTTCAATGGGAACAATTGAACATTTAGAGGCACGTGAAATGTTTGTGGAGCTTAGAGAGGGATTATCTTGACTCCCAACCTGCTCCTGCTTTTTTCTCTTGACCGTCAGGCCTTCATCCTCCTCCATTTTTGTGTAGGGAACCTAGCAATTGAACAAAGTGTCATGAAATGAATCAATGCTGTTACTCCTACAGTCATAACTCCTCAAACAAGTGAAAAAATGGTTGACGTGAGAATTTTTATTTTATTATTTTTTAAATAGCTTGTTCCATCAATTAAGTTTTCATTTTCAGATAGGAAAGAGAAACATATTTAGTTCATGAAATATTTACAATATATATTTGAACTATTTTAGTACTATTTATATACTATTATAACATGGATTAAAATTTTGAATTAGCTTTTATTTTTATATTTTCAGTTTAATTTTAGTTTACATTTCAAACATTTTATTTTTACATCACATTTTTATTACATTTTTTTGTAGTCGTGTCTGTCAAGCTTTGTTTTTATTTTAGTTTCCGTAATTTAAACTTATAATTATTTCAGTTAGTTGCTAAGGAAGCAACTATATTTACAATGTATATTTACATTGAATACAGCTTCATTTCAATTACAAAAAATGTTTTTTAACAGTTTTAGTTAACCATAACAACAGTGATTTGGAAATATATTAAAATAGCATCTGATCAACACTGATGTAGGAAATATGTACATGCACTGTAAATTACAACACAATTTGGATGCATGAATATGTAACTTGCCTGCATCATTTGCTGTATTTTTGACTGCAACTTTGACTCCTGGATCACTTTACGAAGGCCGTCTAATGTGCGTTTGTTTATGAAAAGTCTCTCTGTCAGTTGATCTGGCTTCACAGTCGGCTTTGGTCTTTGCAAGCAAATTTGTACATCAGAAGTGATGCCAAATTCTTTTCTTAGCTCACAGTCAGTCTTGGGTTGACTTCTCTGATCAGATTCTAGATTTTCATAGGCCTGAGACAGAGAGAAGAATGCATTAAATGTCAGCCTATTGAAAGACGTTATTTCATTAAAACTAACAAAGATGATGTTTAAATTTGGTCTATTACCTTTTCAGTATCATAAGTGGCTTGAACACAGACATTCTGGGGTGCTTCCAAAACGCTGGCAGTTTCAGCGAGAGCTGCATCATCTTGACTTCTCGTCTCAGGTGGACTTCCACTCTCCAAGTCTTTATCTGCCTCCATATTCACATTTTCAGAAAGACGGCTCAAGTTGCTTTCATCTCTTTCATTTCCCTCGATCTGCTCATCCATCATCTCATCACTCATTTTGGCTGAAGGATTATCTGGACCACCATCTTTTTCAATTTCCGCATGTGCCGGTTTTTCCCCTTCATTCTGTGAGACAGACTTTGCGCTTGTCTGTGTGTGTTGAACTTCCTCAGATTTGTTCTGGGAGGCAGCTTTCTCTACTTTATCACCAGCATGAGTCTCTGACTTGGGTGGAATGTATGACACAAATATGACATTAGAGTCTTCATCGCTCTCATCCACCTCAGTTTGACTCGGTGTAGGCAAATTTCCCGGGGCACCTCCCAGACATGTGGACGTTTCCTCATCGTCATCACAGAGATCAATAATTTCACTTACATTTCTTTTTGGGTCTTTCTTAGAAGAGTTTGTCCCCAGAGCGGAGCTGGCAGGCAGCGCAGGAGAGGTGCTGACAACCCCTCTTTTCCCACCTTCGCTGATCATCACATCCTTGGCGATCTCTGAATTTTTCTTGGCCACAAAGTAGACTTTCCCATTGCACATGACCAGGGCGTTGTCTTTGCCTGGGGTGATCTTTTCTTGGCTGGCCTGAGGTGTGGGTTTGCTTGGCACAATTTCATTTGCCATCCCAACTGAGCTGACATTCTTGACTGCTTTTATGGTGTCAGTGTTGACATTCGGTGTCATTACAGGTACAAGGCAAGGAGCGGATGCACCTGTTCCCTCCCGGACGACCCATTTTAAGGGAGTGTTCACTTCTTCATTTGTTTTAGGAACGCAAACAGGTGTTTGCAATTTTGTAAGCAGATTTTGAAACCGGGTCTTCTGTATTTGACTTGGCTTTGTAACCGAAACTACTTGCTGGTCAGAATTTAGCTTAACAGAGTTCACAGGGGAAACAAGCACAACTGTTGGTGGACTCTTTTGGAGGTTAGGGGTGTTACTCACAGAGTTCATTATCCGGCATTTGATGGACTGTGGGAGCGCAGTGGCTGGCAGAGTCCTAACTTTCGCATTCGGAGGGATCTGCAGGAAATGACCGTTTGGGAGAACAGGTGATTTAACGGTAACAGGCAACATTTGGACTGCCACCATGCCCTGTCCATTGGGCTGAGGAGGTAACTGGACTGAATACTGGGAAAGCGATTGTGTTGAAAGAGGAATATGCACTGGCTGTGGATTGTGAATAATGAGGTCATTAGTTCCACCATGTTGAGTTTTGACAGCGTTAGATACAGTTCTGACCTGCGGCAGGGCTTTTAGGACAAACCGTCCATCTGCTATGGTCTGAAGGGAGGGAAGCCGCATCTGTGTTTGAGATGAAGCAGCAGCAGGTGGATGAACCGGTTTTGCATAGGCTTTCAGTTGTACATCCACACTGTCTCTTTCTGTACTAAATGGTGTCTGATAAAACTGTCCATTTACTTTCTGGACAGGAATTAACTTCATGACGTTTTTCCCATCGGGTCCCACTGCAGGCATTGCTTGGTAATAGACTCCTGTTCCACTAAAAGATGAAGAAAAAAAATTATACATCAAAATGTAATATTCTGTGAAAATACTATAATATATATATATATATATATATATAAACAAACACACATACTGTTAAACATTATTTTACATTTACATAAAGTTTTCAACATTGATCATGATAAGAAATGTTTCTTGAGCACCAAATTATCATATTAGAATGATTTCTGAAT